AACTATAATGTTAACATTATGATACTGTAACTGTAATCAACTGAGCACTTTTATTTAATTTATTAATTAATTAATTCACAGTTATATACATATAGGGGGGGGGGAGAACAATCCTATAAACCACATTATTCATATCAGAATAGTGGTTAAAAATAAATTATCATAAAGTGATGATTGTACAGTACAGTAAAGCTGTTGTGAAACATAGACTATGACCAAGGTATAAGAATATAATAGTAATATAAAATTGATTTTTTAACCACAATTCAGATATGAATAATGTGGTTTATAAGATCGTTTGGCTACCCCCTCCCCCCTCCTCCCCCTATATGTATATAACTGTGAATTAATTAATTAATAAATTAAATAAAAGTGCTCAGTTGATTACAGTTACAGTATCATAATGTTAACATTATAGTTATTTTTTATATAAATTAATATAATAAAACTCGTTATAAAATTTATTTAATCGTATTTAATTAATTTGTATTTTTAAATAGTCTTGATCAAATATAAAATGTCGATTGATTTGTACTCGTTCAATAAGAGCAACTATTGCCGTGCGGTACTTATGACCGCCAAACATTTGGACATTGATCTGAACGTGATTGAAATCAACCCTGGTCCCGAGATATGGAGCGCACAATTTCTCAAAGTAATATTATATTTTGTTAATTATTATGTGTATACACGAAATTCAAACAAATTACATTGTAATTGATTTTGTAATAGTATAAATTTTTTCTAATTTTACATTAATAAATTGTTAAACTTTTGTAATTAAAACTTTAATGTTTATAATAAGGTAAACCCAAATCACAATCTGCCGACTCTAGACGACAAGAAGTTTGTTTTAATGAAAAGCCAAGCAATAATGCAATACCTGTGCAATCAGTACCGGCCGGACAGCACTCTATACCCGCGCGAGCCTAAGGCCCGGGCGCTTGTCGACCGGTGGCTTAACTTTGATATCACACTAATGGAGTCATCCAAACAAGGTGTGGTAAATGAAAATCAACTTGATATTACTATTATAACCTGATCAATTTTAATTAATTTATTTTATATTTTATCAACACTATAGTTGTGGAAACTGTTGACGGGTGCGGACCCACCGGCCGAGAAAGTGCTGGCATTTAAACACAATTTGAAACTGTTTGACCAGTTGTTGGGCGACAATCATTACGCCACCGGTGCTCAGCACTTGACTTTCGCCGATCTGTCACTATTGGCCACAACGTCTATACTGTTGGCCATACAATACGATCTGAGCGACTGTCCAAACGTCGAGCGCTACCTAAACACCCTGTCCCAGGAGTTACCATATTTTGCCTCAATCAACCTAGATCCATTTACTCCCGAAAGCACCACCGAGTGGGCGGCCAGTAGTCAGAAGTATATCAAACAGAAAATGCAATAAATATTTAAAAGTTTTATTTGTCAATGAAATAAATAATTGATTCACAATTTGATATAAATATAAACTTTATATTTCATGTTTTCATATAACAGGATAATAAAACTACCAATTTTTGCATGTTAACCTATGAGACTAAAAATAAATCTAGATTTAATAAAATTAATTATATTTCTATTTACTAAATTAAATGTTACCATTGTTAGTAAAATGAATTTATAAAGAATTTCATTTAACATCCAAAATATCGTAAAATAAAATATCCACTTTTAGGTATTTATGACTAAACAAGGTAATAAACACCATGATTGCAGTGTTGATTCTCTCTCTCTCTCTCTCTCTCTCTCTCTCTCTCTCTCTCTCT